TGCAGGAGCGTTTGGACAGCGCTGCCAGGGATGAACAGGGTGGGGTTATTGGGGGTGTCWRKGCAGGGCCAGGGGTTGGCATGATGATCCCTCTGTGTCCCTTCCAGCTCAGGGCATTCCAGGATTCTATTAAATGTGTTTGGGGGCTGCAGTGTGCTCCAGATGCATGCAGACCTGCACTAAGCCCCTGCAGAACCCAGCCAAGCCCTGACCCTCAGGCAGGATGTGATAGAGGGGCTGCAAGGTCAGTGCCAACCCTGGGGACACACAGAGTGGCTGAGTTGGTGGCCAGCCCACAGATCCCCTTCAGCAGCCACATGTCCAGGAGGAAAGGGGCCTTGGAAACTCAAGAATCCACAAAAGCAGTGCTGATGTAGGTGGTGCTTTCCAGCATGGGGCTTGGGGAGCTCCCGAGCTCCATCCCCAGAGCACACCCAGCCCTTCTGGGATGGTGCATGGAGGGAAGACACAACTTCACCATCGTTCAGTAATTGAAGAAAAATCCCTGGTTCAATCTGTCGTGACAGAAAACTCCCTGGAGGCCTCTGCAGACCCTGCATCCCCAGACAGAAGAGTGATCTTCCCCCAGAGAGGAAGGACCACCCAGCAACTGAGCTGCTGGGAGGGCTGAGAGTGAAGGGAACCCCCAAACACCTCAGGGAGGGATGTGAGGGACAGACATCTCTGCTGGTACTGAACAGGCCAAGTGTGGCCAGGGTAGAGATCACAGRGCACCCAAAAATAAACCAGAGGCAAATGGGACAAGGAAACTCTGACAAACAGTAGAGAAATGACACATCCTTGAGGGAACAAGGACCTGATTATTTGTGTGTGTCTAAGGAGTTCATACCAGCAACTGTTTACAATATGGTAATCCAGATAAACTTTTCCAAACCTTGCCTAGACCCCAGTATGACTGCTGCCTCTGTTCCTTATTTCTAGGTCTGTAATGAGCCCATAAAATGGGGATTTCCAAACACAGACAGAACATTGGGGGATGCTTATGGTTTCTACCTAAACTTTCTCAAATCCCTCTAAATAARGGAATCTGTTTTGAGATTAAATAAACCCTTAAATCACAAGTACCCACAGATGATCCTGGCATCACCAGCTGCCCAAAAGAAGCAAAACACCCCAGCAAGTGCAGGTGTCTGACYTGGGTGCAAGTGCCTGTCAAATCCAGGTGAGGATTTGTCCCAGGCTGTTGCTGGGAAATCATGGGGTTTGATGGACACCAAGCCAGGGAATGCTGCTTGACTGCCAACTGCTTGGAGCCAGGGTTATTCTCACCCTATGCAATTTTGGGGTGATCTTCTCTCCCCAGTGCGGGGGTCACAGGGCAATATTTTCAATGTGRTGGAAAGATGGTACTTTAGAACAGAAGGTGGTGTCTGACCTGGAGGTGATCAAGGGCAGGATCAGCATCTTCAGCATCCTCATGAGGAGCTCTCCAGGAAAGGAAAAATACTGCTTCTCCTGCACAAAGAGCAGAGTGTGTCTCAGGTAAATGGTTATGGGTTAAGGGCTCAGATTTGATAAATTTTCCTTTTCCCCAACCAGACCCAGCTCTGAGCTGGCAGCCACTCCTTGAGGAACTCCACAGTGCTGCTTCTCTGCTGTCCCTTACCGGGAGTTGGCTCAGGGTGGGGAATACTGGCCAYGTGGCAAACCTGGCTGTGAGCAAGAGAGGGGCATATGGGCTTGGTCCCCTTCCAAAARCATCCTTGATTCGGTTGCCTTCTAGGGAATGATCCCCATAGCCCCACCAYTGGCTCCTCCCAAGTTATTGCACTCATTATCAGGGAGCAGAGGCTTGGCAGCATCTGCAAAGTGCCCCAAAGCTGTTGGCAGCAACAAAAGATGAGAATATCTCATTGCTGYGGGTGGCAAAGCCGAGCTCAGGGAGAGCCCAGGTGTTCAGCACATCCATGGGACAATCTTGGTGCTGTGGCATCTCTCCACCCCTACACCCCTCACATGGACACGGGGAAGGGCTGCAGAGGCATACCCCGAAGTCTGGATCCCACAACCATGACCAAGGGGACAGTGAGGAATCTGTGGGATCAGCAGCCTGGCTAGCATCCCTCCTTCCCTCCATCCCTATCTCTACTCACCATCCATCCATCCATCCATCCACCCATCCATCCATCCATCCATCCATCCATCCATCCATCCATCCATCCATCCATCCATCCATCCA